CGATCCTGACCAGCTTAGCGCCAGACAAAAATAGCGGTGAAATCCGTTGAATAATGGCGCCGGGGAGGATTTGGTGTAGCTGAGACTTTGCATTTAAATCTGTGGCCGTCTCAGCAGAGGCCTGCGCCGCTTTATCATGTCTGTACAGCCAGCAGCTTGTTTATGAATAAAAAATGTGGCATGAAACCAGAGGAGTGAGTTGTCTTTGTTTTGTCAAGTGTGCAGAGGCACAATGCTTCCCACGTGCCACTAGCCTCTCTCCCGCTCTCCACTCTCTCCCAGCCTCTATCTTCTGTTCCTCACCTCCTTCTCTCATCCTCCCTGTCTTCCCCCCATGCCCTTTCCCTTCCAACTCCTGTGCTTTCTCCTCATTTTTCCTTCCCCTCCTCTCCTCTCCTTACTCCTTTCTCTCCTCTCTACTCCTTATTCCTTTCTCTCTTCTCTACTCCTTACTCCTTTCTCTCCTCTCCTTACTCCTTTCTCTCCTCTCTACTCCTTACTCCTTTCTCTCCTCTCTACTCCTTACTCCTTTCTCTCCTCTCTACTCCTTACTCCTTTCTCTCCTCTCTACTCCTCCCTACTTCCACTCAAACATCTGCCAGGTCCAGCTGGGCCCCCGCAAGCCCCTACCTGAGGAACCGTTGCCATGGGATTTGTTCTCCTCTGCTTCTCTCCCCGGCTAGACACCCCCCGCTACACACAAATGCATGCACGAACACACAGGCCGCAAATGCTGCACCCGACCCTCCCTCCCCAAACCGCTTGCCCCTCAACCCCTTCGCTCCCACAAGTAAAGTCCTTTTCAATATTCATGAGACGTGACCACAGGGAGGATCCCCAGCTCCTTCCCATTCTCCCTCTGCCTTTGTTTCGGGTTCCAGCTCTGCCTCTAAACGGAGTCGAGGCAGTGTCCCAGTGACAGGCAGCCACTTGATTAACTCATTAGGCCCGTCCAGTTTGTCTTTAAAAGCGGCTCTGATGAGGGCACAAGCTGTCAACGTGATCTTTGCTGCGAGACCCCCCCCCC